TAAGTCAGTAAATCTCGTTAACTCCTTGTGTAAAGACAACAAAGTACGTCAATCTAACTTGAAACTTTTACACCGAATTGTATTCACAAGAAAAGAGCTCTATCGTTCTAATTTGGCCTCTGACTCGCTATGTTGCTTCTGTTATGAAGAGGATTCAATTGAACATTGCTTTTTGGAATGTACGTTGACCAGAGATTTTATACTTAGTGTGGAAAAATGGTTTAAAGAGATCTCGGGTTCCTCTTTGATGTGTGATCCAGAAAACATCATATTTGCGATCTTTAATGGGGAAACAATCAAGGGAGTGATGAAAAATTCTCATTTAAAATTCAAGAACCACTTGTTAATGTTTATTAGACACTACTTAGTTACTAGTAAAATATGGGAGAAAAAGCCATCCAAGAAAGAATTTGTAAGAAAATTTAAAGATTATTGTAATCTTTATCATATATATGACTATGAACACTGACCTTTACAAAGAATCTTATCTTCAAATTTACTTTTTCTTTTCCTTTCTTTTCTTTTATTTTGTTATTTATATACAGAGGAAAAAAATTCTAGAGAAACATACTTAATATGTCTTCTCATTAATTGTAAATAGTAAGACCTATCTTCAAATTTACTTTTTCTTTTCTTTTCTTTTCTTTTATTTTGTTATTTATATACAGAGGGAAAAAAAATCTAGAGAAACATACTTAGTATGTCTTCTCATTAATTGTAAATAGTAAGAACAAAATATTGTAATTTATGTATCTTGTATTCTTTTCTCTTTTATTTTGTTATTTATATACAGAGGGCAAAAAAAAAAAATCTAGAGAAACATACTTAGTATGTCTTCTCATTAATTGTAAATAGTAAGAACAAAATATTGTAATTTATGTATCTTGTATTCTTTGTGAAAAAAGATTTAATAAAAAAAAAATATTCATCATTCTTTACTCCACTTATAACGAAGCCAACAAGGATAACTAAACGCTCAGCAACACTAATTGATAATATATTCACCAATGTAATTGACAACTCTAAGTCAACAAATGGTCTAATATATTTAGATATATCTGATCACTTACCAATATTTCACATCAAAGAAAAAAATCAGAACTGTAGCAAATTACAAAATGTATACTCCAGAGTCATAAACAAGGAAAATATTCAATCTTTTGTGGAAAAAACTAGTAAACACAACTGGAAAGTATCAAGCAGTTCAGCAAACGAAGCATATGACGAATTTAATGAGCAGCTCAGTAACATATACAATGAAAGTTTTCCACTAAAACAACAAAGAAGCATAAAGCATAAAACTGACAAACCATGGATAACAGCTGGGTTAAAGAAATCTATTAGACGTAAAAACAAACTTTACAAAAAATGTATAACCTCTCCTACAAATCATCATGTTATTTTCAAAACATACCGCAACAGATTAAACAGTCTAATAAGATCAAGCAAAAAGAATCATTATCATTCAATGATAGAAAAATCAAAATCAGATATTAAACAAACATGGGAAGTCATTAACAAAATACTGAACAAAAATAAATGCGAGAAGAGCTATCCCAAAACTTTTTCTGTAAATACTGCAGAAGTATCAAACTCTAAAACAATTGCAATGAATTTGTTAAATATTTTACAAATATTGGAATCAATTTATCAAGTAACATTAAAAATACTAATATTGAAGTGAGTAGCTATTTGAGAGGAAACTTTCAAAACAACTGTTACTTTGAAACAACAACTTCAGATGAAATTGAAAAAGTAACATCCACAATTAGAAATAAAAACAGTTTTGGATTTGATGGTATCAATATCAAGGCAATTAAGGCAGCCATGCCATTTTTATCAAAGACCATAAGTCAACTGATTAATCTCTCCATTCAGAATGGAACTTTTCCAGATAAACTGAAAATCGCCAAGATAATACCCATCTTCAAAGCAGGTGAAAAAAACCTTATTACAAACTATAGGCCAGTTTCAATTTTACCCTGTATATCAAAAATATATGAAAAGATAATATATAATAGACTTATCTCCTTCATTGAAAAAAATAAAATACTCAACAAAAATCTCCTTCATTGAAAAAAATAAAATACTCAACAAAAACCAATACGGTTTTCGACACAACCATTCAACATCTATGGCTATCTTGGACTTCGTAGCGAATATTACAGAATCACTAGACAAGGGATCTACAACAACTGGAATCATGACAGATGATGGTTCTATGTTTACACAACTTCATTGCTTGATTTCTCGTTTCGTGTTTTTCGCGGGGTAGCGAAGTTTAAGAGTCCAGTTCCTCGCGATTACGATAAAATGTTATGAAGATTTAGCAGAAGCACATGCAACTCATGAATAGCAAAATCGTGTGAGCGTTTCTCAAATTACGTCTTGGTTTTTGTTTTATAAAGGTTTATATCAAATTACACCAAAAAAATGCATTCTTCGATTCAACTGTGATTTATTTCTAAACTAAGTAAAATATTAAAAATCGCTCACACGATTTGACAGATGGGTATGTGTTGATTTATATTGTACAGTACTTTTGACTATACGGCAAACGTGTTGACACTGAACTCTTGCAAACAAGGGTACCCTTGTTTAGTTCAGAGCGTTGAAACGCGTTCTGAATAAGAACTATCATCATAAAAATTATATAGACATATTCTCTGATAATTTAGCTTTCATATGACATATAATACTGTATAAAAGCGCGAAATCCAACGCGCCAATGATTTTTCAACGAACAGACGCCGCGAAGGGCCACAGTAACCTTAATATTTTCTTGGCTATTTCATCATAATTGTTTGCATCCCCGCATGACTTAGTGGTATTCGTGTTGACTCCAAAAGGCATTTGTCTCTAACATATTTCCGGAACTTGACTTTGCAGCCTGAGTCAGACAGTGAGGATAGCGAAAGCGATTCTGTTTCGTCAGAGATTAAGGATGGTAGAATTTCGACATCAGAGAGTGATAGTGAACAAAGTGAACATTCAGAAACCGATGACAATGACCCTGATTGGGAAGAACTGGAAGAGGGAGAGAACGACAAAGAAAGGATACAGGATACAGACCAGGAAAAAGTGATATTCAAAACACAACGCAATGTAACCAGAGAATATAAACAAACCTACAATGAGCGACAATCAAGCAACTGAAATCGAAGTTACAGCCGATGAAAAAGAAAAAGAACGAAAGATTCATAAAGAAATTGAAAAACTTTTTAATTTTAAAATTTTTTATTGATGATGCAGAGAAAAGCCGTCAAAATAATGAGTATGAAGAGTTAAAAACAGTCTTACTCAAATGCAACTCTATCCATGATACCATCAACGAACTAGTGACAAACTTACAAGAACTGAAGCTTGAACAAGGGAATTTGACTGCAAGAGCAATCAGACAGTGGAAAAAGCAGTTTAAGGAAATTTACGCTCCTTTAATCGAGCGGAAAGCAGAATTACAAGGGACATTAGACCAGAGAGAGAAACAGGAGAGCAATGTCGCAACAGAGGAATGTTTGCAAATCAAACACTGGAGAGAAGAGGAATTCAGACAAAAAATGCACGAGAAAGAAAAGGAATTATTGGACGAACGAAGGCAGAGATCAAGCTAACCGAGAAGAAAATGGAGATCAAGTGAGCGGAGAAACAACGACACACAAAGCTCCCGGAGTTAAAGATCACGCCATTCAAAGGGACGCCAAGCGATTGGATCAGGTTTGAGAATATGTTTATTTCACAAATTGACAATTCTACAATATCTGACGAAGAGAAGTTTGGATATCTTCTTGAACTAGTGGGACCTAAGGTAAGAGATAGATTTCCTAATCTTAAACCTGGTCCCGCTGGATACAAAACAGCATGGGATCGTTTACAAAGCGAGTACGGCCATACAAAGTTAGTTAGCGCAGCCCATATGGATTAATTAATTCACCCCCGTTCGCGTAACTAGCTACGAGAAGGTACACAAATTCTATGAAAAACTAACTAAAAACTATGACGCTTTGAAATCGCTTGGGAAGGGTGACACACTTAGAGCCCTTGTTATATCCACAATTAATAATTTACCACAAGTCAAACCAGACTTAGTACGTAGCGATGAATTGGGATATGGCAGCCCTTTTGGAGTCAATCAAAAAATGGCTCAAAAGAAACCGAGTAGAAGATAGGGAAGTAGCCCCAGGGAAGAAAGTAAGAAAAAAGAGAAACATTTCTATAGTACCAGCAAGGGAGGACCAACCGCACCCAGGGAGAAAGGGCCACACTGTCTATATTGCAATGGGAGCCACTGGGGGGATTCCTGCCCTACCCACAACACCATAGAAAGTCGAAAACGATTTATAGCTGAAAATAAATTGTGTTTTAATTGCGCTCGCAGGGGGCATCAGGCCAACCAGTGCTGCAGCAGGGGTTGCTGGGAAGCACCACACGAGTCTCTGCATGAACAACAAGGGACAATCCAACGGAGTTCTAAATGGRTATACCCCTTCTACTGACGAGAAAAGCTTGCCAGCCATAATTCCGGTACAAATTAAAAATACTACATTGTGGGCGTTTCTCGACACCGGATCAGGGAGGAACTTTATTTCTAAAGAGGCAATTAAAAAGCTCAACTTAAAGCCAATCAAACACGAGAAAAAAGGTTTCATAACCGTGAACGGGATGGGAAAACAATCAATGCCAATTTTCGAAGTTGAAATAAAGTCAATCGATGATCGTGAAAGTGAAAAAATCTATCTATCCGGAAGTAAAATGCCTGACTTCTCAACA